AACGTTCACTCTGTCATATTATGTTTTACCCTACGAAATGAGGTCGTAGATGGAGGGGAAGGCTAAAAGGGGTGGGGTGGAATTATACTGTGCCTAATATCTAGATACTGCCTAGGAAGCACTTAGAGTCAAACCAATACTACGCCCCAGATCAACAGGACAAAAGAACGTCATTGAGGCGGACTCTAGCCAACAGTACACAAGAGCTGACTACACGGTCTGTTCACGTAAACCAATCGACTCCTGACGTTCGAATCAAGTGACAAGTAATCACTTGGATCTGTAAGTGGCTCGCATAAAGCACACTGCTGATGTGGTCTAGTCTGACGATGAAACGTTTGCAACCAAATCAGCCAGCTCGGGGAACACCCGCATACCCTCACACTCCTAAGGTAACGGAAGCAGGAGGTAGTTTCCAATACGTCATCACCAATGCTGATTTGCGGCTACATTGCGGATTGCGCCTCCGACGAAGGTTGAAAGAGACAGACAGTTTTGCTTGTGTTAATGTTGAGTCCGAATTTTGCCGCTGTCGAAGCCAGAGCACTAGTCATGTGTTGCAACTCATCAGCGCTGGGTGCGAACAACGCACAGTCGTCAGGGAACAGTAACATACGGATAGTTGTCTCACAGACTAGAGTTCTCGCACCGAAACGACGGATGTTCAGCAACTCACCATCAATACGGTGCTCTACACGAACACCGCAAGCACAAGCGGCATCAAAAGCACAAGACATCATTGCATGAAGATAGATATTAAACAGGGCAGGAGCTAAGACACAGCCTTGCTTCACGCCAGAGACAACTGCAAAGTCATACGACGTCTGTCCACTCAGTTGCACCCTCGCACGCATACCACTGTGCAGACATTCAATTAAGTTTCCGAACTTTCCCAACACCAGTCACAATGCTTCGTGGCTCACGGCATTAAAAGTTTTGGTGAAATCAACAAACAGCGAGAACAACGGCTGGTGTCGTTCTCTGCACTTCTCCTGCAACTGACGAGACGCAAACACCATATCGATGATGTTGCGACCCGAACGGAATCCACATTCCTCTCCCGCCACGTTCGGTTTCACAACCTGACCGACGAGGCGGTTAAGCAGGATTCGAGCAATCACCCTGCCCACCCAACTTAGCAAATTGATGACAAGAAAATTCGTGCAACAGTGCTTGCTTCCTTTGCTCGTGTACAGTGGGCATCTTTCAGCTCAGAAGACACCTCCTCCTCAATCCACGCGGGTTGCCCCAATTGGTACTGCGCAGTTATCAATGCGGATCCGCAGTGTTTCAATACTTCAGGCAGGATCCCGTCGACATCGGCACACTTGCCGTTTCGCAGGTGATCAAGTACTCTCTGCGGCGCATCCAGAGTCGGTGTCCTCCAAACTCACCATCACATCGCGCTGTTTCAGACCGTTCAAAGTAGGCCAGTCGATATCTGAACGGTTGTCCAAGAGACGAAGTGTTTTGCCAGATATGCATTACGTCGGCAATCTGCGTAAAGGTAGCGCCTGAACTACCATCGGAAAGCGTCCTCAGAGGCTCCAACCTCGGTTCATAAACCGTCTTCAAGAAGTCAAAGAATTCATTGTGTTTGTGGCGTTCGGCGTAGCATTCCAACCGCTTCGCCTTCTCCGTCAACTATGCATTTTTAATGCGACGGATCGCTCGAGTCAGTCGCCGTCGAATTCTATCAAACGTTCACTTCCTTCCCAGGTCACTGGGGTCAGCCACATCTGTAGCAAATGCTACACTCTTCTCACATACCAATGCGCTAATCGTCGCATCCTTCTCATCAAACCAATAAGGCCGCTTGCAGCTTGCGCGCCGGATGGTCACCTCGGCAGCAGCTGTCACCTGGTCGAGAATATGGTGCCACAGGTTGCCCACTGTGGCTATGCAGTCCACATCACACAGGGTACAGCCATCGCCTTCTCCAGCTCAATACGTTACTCCACAGCACCGAGGGAGAGAAGGTTAAATTTACGCCGATTCATGGCGGCAGTGCAATACATAGATCAACAAATATATATATATATATATATATATATATATATATATATATATATATATATATATATATATATATAATTTGGCGGCGTCCATATCCTGTCAATCTGGCCTCCATGGGGACAGTTACAGGACGTCTGCGCCTACAGAGGGACCATGGGTGGCTTGCGCTGCACCACCCACAGTTCCACTCATACACCCCATATCCGGTGTAAACCCGAAGGAATAAGACTGGGAGGCATGTGGATGGGAGCCACGTTTCATCAACGGAGCCGGCCCACACTCCTTCAGCAAACAGAACAGAAGCATTCCGGCCTAATTGGGAAATCATGTACACCAGACGTACACATGGGGGTGGGTGGACCGTAACCGGTTCCACACAGGATGGAACGAATCTTTGGGCCTAGCACCGTCACGAGGACGGTGCACCTCGTCCCTTCTAGCAACGACCAACTGTCGCCTGGAGCCAGTATGGACGAGCTAGTGGGTAATAGACAGATAAGCGCCTTGTCAACATCCATATCAGGCGCAGCCACACCGGGGAACTCAAGCAACATCTACTTCTGAAATGCAAGATTAATCATCACGCAGACAAGTGTACCACATACGCCGCCTTATTGGCCTAGATTAGTAAATCGAATGGGGGCGCACGCATGATGCTTCTATTGCGCATGCAATAGTGCCTTCTCCTGCACCTGAGCAACCGCACTTTTGAGCAGTCCACGGAATTCGCATCGATCAAAATTTGCCTTGGATTCGCAACACCTGTAATCAGCATGAGTTTGTCATAAACTCACCATGTTAATATATATATATATATATATATATATATTTCTACGATGGCAGGAGAAAAGGAGTTGTTGGGTTTTACACATATCAGGTAGTTTTTGTGTATGGAGTTTTTATGTCCGATTAGACGCAAGTCAATAGATGATGCAGTTGAACTACACAGTGATCACTGATTTCTTTTGCGCGCCGTAACATCCAGCGTTTGCAGCCACTGGCACTCCGAATCGCGTAGCCCCCATCCTGGAAGGCGGACTGGTCCGTGGGATGCTAAGCTTGAGGCTGCCTTTTTTTACGCTGCGTCTCTACCTCATTGGTTGCCTACCACGGCGCCTTTTCCAAGCACTTCCGGTAAGGGTAAATAACACTCCAAGAAGTAGGTACTAGGCTAGTAAGCGAACTACCTGGCCGAGCTTGTGCATGCGGGGTCGAGAGGAATGAAGGCCCTCACTTCTGAGCTGGCCTCCGTTGGAACGTCCCGGCTCCCTGGTTGGAGTCCGAAAGACGATGAGCACGTTTGGTTGGACACACTTGCTGATATGGCTAGGAGCCGGCCTCAGTGGCGTTCGTGCTGTGAGTTTTTTTGTCCCACCCCATCCTTCTTAGCTTCCCCCTCCAACCACGATCTCATTATTTAACATGTTATAAATTTGCTGTATAGTAGCTGGCTGATAGCCTACCGGAACGATGTCCATCCGTTATCGGTAGCTCAGCCAGCTTGCACCAGTTGCATTTTTTCTCCTTTTTTCTATGTATTGCGGCACAGTAGCTGAGGTGTTTCCCACCTCTAGCTAACGTGTATGATGATGATGATGATGATGATGATGATGATGATGATGATGATGATGATGATGATGATGATGCGGTGTCGGAGAATAGCGTTTTGGAGGAAAGGACTGTTTGCTCCAAGCACTTGGATTTTTTGTGTTGCTTACACAATGTTACCACCACATGCGAGTAATACTACGCAGGCAACGATTGTCAAGAATTGACAATCGCTTCCAGTCTTCTGAGCGTATTGACCAGGTCTAACAGCCATACAGGAGGACAAAGTGGATAAAAGCAATGTACACCCTGCCCTTCAGATTGGGACTGACATCGCCACGATGCCATAGGTGTCTCAGTCTGATGAATGCAAGGTGAGCCTTTGCTATCCGTTGTAAGACCTCATCTCCAACACTGTCGCCAGTCGTGATGCAACTTCCTAGATAAGTGAAGCAAGGGTCTTGTCCCAGGACGTCCCTAGCAATGGTGAGAACAGGCACAGGCATCTGCCAATCCTGGAATAGTATTTTATATTTGCCTGGAGTGAAATGCAGGCCACACTTAGACCCCTCCATCCCTAAGCGGTTCATAGTGCTCTAGACGGCTTGTGGATCGTCCCCAAGCAAAGTGATATCATCGGTGTAGTCCAAGTTCACTAATGTCACCTGGGAGAAGCTCAACATCGCAGTTTTTGACGCTTTCCAAAGCTAGTTGGATGACATATTCAATGGCAAAAATGAAAGATGAAATAGAGTAACTTTAACGAACGCCGCTAGTGACATCAAATGACGAGGAAAACCTGTGGTAAGCCATGTGTTTATTCGATATGTCACTGTAAAGTTCCTTCAGGACGATGACAAACTTGCCGTGCGCACCTTTCAGTCCCACAACACAGATCTATCTACTGAATCCAATGCCGCTCGGACATCTAAGAACACCACGACTGTTGACCGTCGTTGGACTTAACGGAGTTCAAGAAGTTGGCGGAGTGTGAAGACTTGGTCGACGCAACCTCGGCCTAGACAAAAATCGGCTTGTTCCTCTCGGGAAACACGCTCTCTAGTCGCTAAAAGCTCGTGAAGTGTGATGGACACGAAAAGCTTGGACACAACAGAGATCAACGACCAAAAAGCCGTGACAAACCTGGCAGGACTTGCTCTCCGCGGACTCGAGGATAACAGTCGGTACAGTTCAAAATGTAAAATAGGCATGGACGTGTTTGGACAATATTAAGGCCTAATCTCATCGTGTCAAATATTACCGAACTCCCGTACACGCGTAACTCATGAATGCAGCAAGATTTGCATGTACCGCTAGTACTTACGTTACGAAACTCATCAGAATATCACACCGGATGGAGCACGTGTCCCTTCCACTGACACGAAAATGGAAAGTGATGGAAGCCGTGGGAAAACACAAAACGCTTTGAAACTTACTGCTCAAATCATTTATCTCGCGAACCGAATTATGATAGGAAGTGAGTAGCTCCTGTTTCATCCAATTCTCCTGTCGTAATGTGCTGTTCAAACGTTCGCCCTCCAACACGGCGCGCTGTAAACGCGCTTCCAAAGGCTGTTGTTGTTCCTCCTCAGTGACATCTTCTTCCGGAATGAAATCGGAAAGTGGTGAAGACTTCAGGCGCTTTTTCGACTCATGTGCGCTGCTACCCAATACTTGCCTTGAGTTGGTTGCTGGTATCATCAGATTTCGATTTAGTTCATGCTGTTGCTGGTTGTGATTGGCCTGACGTGCTCTGGCACCAGACAATATTCGAAGTTGTTCATCTCTCTGACGGGAGGTTGCTCGAAGTGCGGATAGTTTGATCTCGAGTACTCGCCGCTGTTGGCAACAACTAGCCTCAGTCAGGTCGACGGTGCATTGAGACGAACTAGTGTCCATATCGTCCGGAGTTGAGACTCTATGGGTGCGCGAGACAAGAGGACAATGCAGCAAAGTTCAGAATCGGTGCACGTGAATAAGTTGGTGGAAAAATACATAGAGACACAGGAAAACAGTGTGAAAATGAGAACCGAAGACAGAAAAGGACTAGTTGATATGCTGAAAGAAATCTCAGTTAGCTGTATCCATAACGATTTCAAATTACTCCTTTAGGGAAAGCGTGTTCCTGCCTAGATCTCGTAAAATAGTCCTTAACGCTTTCAAATTGCACCAAATGGGAGTGAACGAACCGAAACACTATCGTTCATTGAGTGACCCATCCGAAATAAACCAGTAGCATCTCACCCTGTGCACGCATCGGCTGAGTTGGAATTGGCCACTTAACGAACAGTAGGCATTGTTAGGGCACTTTTGCGTCTGCTGGATGCGATTGCAAAGCGTTAAGAACCATCATGAGAGATCCATGGAGGAGCATGAATACTTGAGAAGGAATGCAACCGATTGAGAAAAGGTATAGTCGCCCCCAGTGAATTAAGTACCGAAAAAATGGGTATACGTCAGGCAAACAGAGTAACAAAATTTGGTGTTGAGCACCAAACCAAACCAAAATACTTTTCTTATACATGTAAAAATGGGGAATCGAACATGAGTCTAATTGGAGGAAGATGTGGGGATAACGGTATCAGCTCGGATGCAGTGTGGCTGCAGAGAACAAGGGAATATGGCGATGGCCGGGGAAACAAAGCGCGATGAACGAATACAGGCAAGGAATATGAAAGACACAGATCAGTTATGTCTACTCCGTCAACCCTGACTCGAGTACCAAGGTGTGGTGGATCGAGTTACCTTGCCACACGTCAATATAGTACATAGTAATGACTATAACAGTAGTAATACTAATAAACAGGTGTGGGTACATGTCGATTACTAGGGTGTGCAAACTGCGTCGTGTTTGGTGGTCACACTGTGATGGGAGTATACACTCGAACGAACGTGCGGTGCCAGCTTAGCAAGGAAGCCGTTAGGCTGCCGCAAGGAAAGGCGGCAGCTGATTGGACGCTCACACGTTTCTTGCATGCACGCTGATTGGCCAACAGTTGGACGCATTGAAGTGAGTTTGTTTGACTGAATCAAAGGAAAAATGTCATGCATTCACAAAGGTCGTTAATTATGGATCCAACTAGCTATATATACCGATATGTTTCACTCGCCCTCTGCCTGCGTTTTCGCCTGGTCCGTAGTTTACAGAATATACGTTTTGTCCCTGAAGGACCGACTTTTTACATGGTGTCAGAGAAGGGGAAGAACATTAGTACCATCCAGACGATGATTGGAGCTGCACCGGCTATTCAAGTGCCTGCCCCGCTGAACACAGATGAACGCAGTTTGGCAAGCAACTGGCGTTTGTGGAAGAGCAAATGGATGGATTTCTGCACTTTATCGCGTCTGGACAAACAACCGATGGCGTACCGCTTGGCCATATTTCGACACGCAGCAGGAGATGATGCGCGCCGCGTGTTAGAGACATTGGGTTACGACAAGAGCAAAGATGCCAACAATCTGGAGACAGTTCTTGAGAAGTTCAGTGAATACTGCGAAGGCCAAACAAACGAGACATTTCAACGCTACCTCTTCTTTTCGCGGAACAAGCGGCCAGGTGAATCCGTTGACACGTACGTCACTGAGCTAAAGATTTTGGCCCGATCATGCAGTTTCTGTAAATGCATGGCGGACAGTCTCATACGGCACTGCATTGTTCTTGGGATCAATGACGAAGGTTTGACGAAGCGACTATTACGAAAGCGCAACCTATCTCTGCAGCGATGTATCGACATCTGTAACAGTGAGTCCTCCACTGCCTAACAGTTCCAGCAGATGACAATCACAGGTGATTCAGAGTTGTGCGCCGTTTCCAGGAGCAAAACTACGAGGGCCACGACCGCGCGACAGGAGCCCTGCAACTTCTGTGCAACACGATATCCGAGGAATTGCGAACAGTGTCCGGCGTGGGGCCGCATTTGTGTCAAATGTGGGAAGCGCAATCACTTCGCCCGCTGCTGTCAGTCGACAGATGTCAGTGCATTCGTTCCAGACAAATCAACAGAAGACACCGAACAATCGATTGGTAACGTGTCTCGGAAAGCGTCGCAGAAGTGTGTCTATGCAAGTCTTCTGATCGAGGGAAGGTCTGTGCGATTCCAGTTAGACACAGGCGTGACGATCAATATTTTGCCTAGAAAGCACTGCCGCGGCGTGCAAATTCAATCGGATCAAGATTATTTGCGCATGTGGAATGGTTCCAGACTCAAGCCAAAGGGCTCAGCGACAATTGAAGTGGTCAATCCGAGAGACGGTGTTTCGCATCGTCTGCAGTTCGTGATCGTGGATGAGAATCTAACGCCGATTCTCGGCATTGATTCGATTTAATCTCTTGGCTTTGTCATTTTTAATCATGATCCTTTTGTGTACGCCTGTCAGAGTGAAGCCGATGTTAGTGACCTGTATCCGTCTGTGTTTAGCCCGAGTTTAGGGGAATTCGAGGGTACCGTTCACCTGTCGTTAGATCCTTTGGTACGCCCGATTGCGTTACCTGCTAGGAGAGTCCCATTTGCGCTACGTGACCGATTTTCCGGGGAATTGAACAAGCTGGTTATGCAGGGTGTGATTGCAAAGGTTGATGAGCCAACACACTGGGTTAGCCAGGTCACAATCATTACGAAGAAAAATGGCGAACTACGCGTATGTATAGACCCGAAGCCACAGAATGAGGTCCTGCGTACAGAACATTATGCGCTACCGACGTTAGAAGATGTTTTACCGCGTTTGACAAAAGCTAAGTTTTTCACGAAAGTAGACCTTTCTTCCGCATTCTGGCACGTTGTTCTAGACGACGAATCCAGTTTCCTCACCACATTTGCCACACCGTTCGGACGTTATCGTTGGCTGCGATTACCGTTTGGCCTAAAGGTGTCTAGCGAAATTTTCCAAAAACCTTTGGTGCAAACAATAGATGATTTAGATGGCGTAACCTGTGTGGCAGATGACGTTCTGATTTACGGTTCTACCGAAGAAGAGCATGACACTAAGCTACACCGGTTCTTGAGGTGTTGCGTGCAAAAGAACATCAAGCTAAAACGCGAGAAACTAGAGCTGCGGAAAGAGGAGGTGATTTTCCATGGGCATGTGTTTACATCCGACGGAATCAGGGTTGACCCATGGAAAATTAAGGCGATACAAGAGATGCCGTCCCCTAACGATGGGAAGGCAGTCCATCGCCTAAACGGTATGGTGAATTAGTTAAGCCGGTTCCTACCAGGACGCGCTGATGTCATGACTCCGATTAGGCAGTTAACTCACAAAGGAGTAAATTGGAGCTGGGGGAAGGAACAGGATTTGGCTTTCGAAACCATTAAGAACCTTATCAGTAATGCGCCCGTACTCGGATATTACGATCCAGCACAACCATTGGAGGTACAGTGTGATAGTAGCCAGAGTGGAATAGGTGCTGTTCTGTAGCAGAACGAAAGACCTTTGGATTTCCGCAGTCGAGCACTCACAGAGGCCGAGAAGCGGTACGCACAGATCGAGAAAGAAATGCTGGCAGTAGTCTACGCCATGGAGCGTTTCAATGATTATACTTTTGGAAGAAAGACAACCGTGTACACTGATCATAAGCCGCTGGTGGCGATAGCCACTAAACCACTGAATAACGTTCCTCGCCGTCTGCAGCGTATGCTTATCCGGCTCCAAAAGTATGACATTGACATTGTGTACACACCTGGCACACAGATGTTCATCGCGGACACCCTGTCGAGAGCACATCCGCCAGTGGCCGAACATCATCTAGAAGAGATCGAGACAGTTAGCATGGTGCAGCATCTGGCAGTGACAGAAAACCGTTTGAAAGACATAAGGCGTTCCACGGAGGAAGACCAAATTTTTTGCAGCTTTGCGAGAGGTTATCCTCAATGGGTGGCCAGAAACAAAGAAGCAGCTCCCGAAGGAATTAACACCCTACTTCAATTTTCGGGACGAACTCACTGTCTGTGACGGTCTGTTGTTCAAGGGAAGTCGAATCCTAATCCCTTCTTCTCTCCGAAAGGAGATGCTGGAGCATGTCCATCGCGCTCACCTGGGTAAAAATTACACCCTTAATCGAGCAAGAGAACTGATATTCTGGCCAGGAATGACAGGTCAGATCAAGGATCATGTGTCTAACTGTGAGGCGTGCCGTTCACACGACATTCAGCAAACGAAGGAACCGATGATGCTGCATGATGTTCCGGACCGACCGTGGCAAAAGGTAGCAGTGGATCTATTCTGGGACAACGGAAAGGATTACTTACTCACGGTGGACTACTATAGTGATTACTTTGAAATCGATTTACTCACCACCACGACCACGGAGGCAGTAATCAACAAACTCAGATGTCAATTCGCACGGCACGGGATACCGGAGGAGCTAGTCTCGGACAACGGTACCCAGTTCAGCAGCAGGGCATTCCAGGCTTTCGCAACCAAATGGGAATTCGCTCACACCGGCAAACCAGTCCCTATCACAGTCAATCAAATGGGAAGGCAGAGTTGGCAGTGAAGCAAGCCAAGTGACTATTAGCGAAGGCTAGAGATACTCGGGAGGACCCATACCTCATGCTACTGGAGAGTCGCAACACTGCTTCAACGGATATCGGCCTGAGCCCAGTGCAGCGCCTATACAGTCGAAGGACCAGAACTGTGATGCCTGCATCCGCAACACTTTTGCGCCCTGTCACGCCACAACTTGAGAAAGTACAGAACAGTTTGAAAAGGCGAATGGCTACTCAGAAACGGTACTACGACAACGGCGCACGGGAATTACCTGAGCTGACAGTGGGGGAAGAAGTATGGGTTGAACCAATTCCCGATGGACAGGAGCGGTGGAGAAAAGGAGTCGTGGCTGCGAAAGTCGGTGAAAGGTCATACGAAGTAAATGTTGGAGGGAAGAAGCTGAGAAGAAACCGAGTACAGCTGAAGAGATGT